TGTATCCTGTCGACCCAAGATAGTTGCACACGAGTAAGCGTTGTCCTTGCTATCTTTTTTATTTTTCTCGCCTATGATGTGAACAATAACCACTCCCCTATTGCTTTATGTGCGTACATTCTCATTTCAAACCCTTTATACGACAGTGCAGTTACATCTGTAAGCGCCTGAACTGACGACTCCATTATCCCTTCGCTATCTTTTTTTGCCACGCTATCCACCTTACAGGACATGTCAAGCACCTGCTTTTTTACCCGTCATAAATCATTGTTCATTGTTCAAAATGCTCGATGAGCGCAATCCGGCACAATGCTTGCGAGTCTTGGTCTGTTTGCGCAAAAGATCTATACACGATTTGTTTTGATCATGGCTGACTTCAGAGCATTACTGGTGTCTGATAGCAAGCTCACATGAATAATGATGGCGTTCACTGAAGGCTTTTCGTATCAGTTAAACTCTGTCAAGCACCGACTTGCATTGTCTCACTGCACATGCTTCGATTACTTGGGAATTTTCTTCGCATGCCACTCCAGCGTTTACCTCACCGAGTTTTCTTAGTATGCGCATAAGTAGACTGGGGTCAACGTAACGTGGCTAACGAATGACTTACATACTAAGCTAGAAGATGCTAACCTCAGTACCTAGAACTCACGTCAATAGCATACATGCTACCTTAACTGGCAGTTGGTTGCAGGGGAAGTCATTGCTCTAATAGCCAACCCAGTTAACATCGAGTTTGTAACCTGCGTGGGAGTGAAGATCAAATACGCTATGTCACGTCGAAAAATTAGTCGCAATGGTGCTTCGCGGCAATTCTTCACCCAGTGGCACCATTCACTGCAAATAAACACATCTGTCGCGAGTTCAAGTACTGGAGCAGTCTGTGTAATGCGCGCTGGTAATGAACCTCATAGGGACAAAAACAGTTTAGCACTTTACGCATGTATGGTTGGCGGCATCCGGTTTCGGATTTTCCTTTCACTGTGGCAAGCCACAGGACGTCTGCGCCCACAGTGGGACCAATGATGGCTTACGCTGCACCACCCACAGCTCCATCCACACACCTCATATCCATTGTAAACCCGAAGGAATAAGACCGGGAGGTATGCGGATGGGAGCCACGTTTCATCGACGGAGCCGACCCACACTCCTTCACAGGCAAACACAAGCACGCTGTATTTGGGAATCAAGCGCAGACACAAGGCGGTGGCTGGACCGTAGTCCGCTCCACACTGAGTGCATGGAACCACTCTTTGATCCTAACACGGCCACAAGGACCGTGCACCCCGTCCCCTCCAGCAACAACCAACTGTCTCCTGGAGCCAGCATGGACGAGGTAGTGGATAATAGATGTGAATATCCACTCGTCAAGCGTGTATGAATAACTTGACTTGACTTGACTTGACTTACTGAAAACTTGCTGCTGGCTTGCTGAACAACCTCCTCGTGGTGCCAGCTGGGTGGTTCGGGTTTTTCTTGTTCCAGGAAATGTTTCGACGGCAGTGTTCCAGGACGTGGTGGGTTTTTGCCCGGCGAGCGTTCCCCCTATAAAAAGCCACAAATAAATCTTTAACGACTGCGACGTGGCGGAAGTGACTCGCCAGTAAATAGAGTCACCACTCCCCATTGTACTTCAAGGGTGCGTTGGACCGCTGGTTCTTCACGGACCGATAGCAACATGAACCATCTAATTCGTCAACGATTCCTAACGGGTTGCAAGGCCCTCACCTCGCCCTGCTGCCTCGTATGTTAGTGCTTTGATCAATGGTTCGGGGTAGGACCCCTAAGACAACCCTCTACTTCGCCTTGGGCAACCAGGTAGTAACACGCCCACTGACGAATCATGGACAGCAATGCTTACTAATGCTCCTGCTATGTCTATCATCTCTGCCGAACTCAACTGCGCAACCTCAACTCACAGCTCACCCCACCTCCCGTCCATCACATATATGTACTCTTATGTCTTCTACGGTCACCGTCACAAAGGACCCACGTCCCGCAACTGATAGAAGCAACAGATAAACTCCCGGTTTTCAATGTTCCGCGATCGCAACCGCCTCTCACTCCAACGAAGCTCCAGCTCTTCTTCGACCTAGTTCTGCATTCATCCTCGCAGCGTTTAATGTTCGAACTTTGATGCAAATCGGACGACAAGCATGTCTGGTCCGTACTCGTGAAACGCTCTCGGTAGACATCTGTTACATTTCAGAGACCAGATTACAAGACCGTAGCGCCGTCATCAGAATGGACTCTCCGGTAAACCCAGACGCCAAATACCACTTGCGGCCTTCCGGAGACCCAGAAGCTGTCGCCACTGGCCAAGATGGTGTTGGGGCTGCACTGAATGCCAGGGCTGTATCAGCTCTGTTTGACTGGATTGCAGTCAACAGTCGGCTACGTGCAGTCAGACTACCAGGTTCATGTAACGTAAGCAGGCGTCGAGACCTTAAGTGTGTCTTGTTTGTCCTCTCCACTTACGCCCCTATAAACTGCAGCCCGGATGCAGTTAAAAATAGCTTCTACCAGCGACTACATGAATTTCTGCATTCCTCTAAAAAGATTGATACAGTCCCTCTTCCCGGAGACTTTACCACACGAGTGTACCACCTTCCACCAATCGAGCACCACCTTCGGGTAGTATTGGCCTCAGTGGCAGTCGATCAGACAAAGGAGAGAGACTGCTTGCTATTTGCTCTGATCATCGCTTGTTACTTTCGAACACTAGTTTTCGGCACCCTAGGAAACAGACTGCTACCTGGAGCCCGCATACACAAATGCAATATGGCTCCCAGCTTGACCACTTTGCAATCAGCTACAGATGGCACGGAAGCGTAACGTACTGCGGATCTCATTGGTCAATTTATCTGGACTATGATCACGTATTGGTTCGTTCTAAAATTTGCATGCGTTTTGGAATAGCACCCAAACGCGCTCAATACCTACCAGGGATCGCGAATCTACAAAACGCTGCGATTTTAATCAAGTGACAAGCCTCATTGTCAACGTTGCTTGGCTCAACTATTGACGATGATCTCGATTCGCAGTGGGCGCAGGTCAAGGATGATATAGTTTCTGCCAGTATCGACACGTTGAGTTACCCGTTCCCACCGAAGCATTGGATTTCCGCCGCCTCCCTGTCACTGATGGACGTACGTCGTTTGATCCCGTCGGATTTCAGCCACAGTGAAGAGGGTCAATCCCTGGGTCGAGAGTTGCGCAGGCGTCTGCACATGGACGGCGAAGCTTGCACGTGTCAACGTACTAGAGAGTTGCAGCTAGATAGTGTCTCTAGTTTTACCAGAAAGCTTTTCCATCTCATTCGAGTCACCGAAGGTATTCGATCTGTAGTTTTAAAATATATTATGCGCAGAGGATGGTACGTTAATCACCAATCTTCAACGACGATTAGAGCGATGGGTCAAACAGTTTGGCTCGCAGTTTTGTTGGCCCCCAACTCCATCTGCTACCTCTGACTCTCGAGCTGGGGCCGAGTGCTCTACCGCCGAAGGTCCACCCACTTACTAGCAATTCCAACAGGAGCTCCGCCAAATGAAGCTTTATAAACCACCCGACCCTGATGGTTTTTCTCCAGCTCTATTTAAAGATAGTGACTCTTGGCTGGTTCGAGAACACACTGCTTTGTTCTCGAAAATTTGATTGAAAACGAAACTTCCATCATCTTGGGGTGAATCGATAATCGTACTCATCTTCGAAAGGGGCCTGCGAACAATCTGATGCGAATAAAAAAGCGTAAGCTTAGTCCCCGTCGTATGCAAGTTACTGGTATCCACCATACTTCGCAGGATATCCAAAACGCGCGAATCGTTGCAACGAGAAGAACAAGCTGGGTTTCGCCTGGTCGCGGCTGCATCGATCAAATATTCACACTTTGTAAGATCCTCAAGCTCCGCCATGTGTATCAGAGGCCAACGATTGCTGTGTCTCTGGATACCCGTGCAGCCTTCGATTCTGTTGATGGTACGGTACTGTGGCACTGCCTACTCAGGAATGGTGTCCCTGAGAAGTTCGTCTCCATACTGCCCGCTTTATATGGTCCGACTTCGGGCAGGCTTAGGGCTTATGACAACCTTTAGCCTTCCTTTGTGGTCCCCAGTAAAGTTCGACAAGGATGCCATATCTCTCCGCTCCTATTCAACTTTGCCATTGAGGATGTCCTAAAGAACGCTCTGGGCGATTCCTTGAACGCTGGCGTTGAGCTCCTCCCAGGTATTCGCGTTGTTGATTTGGATTATGCTGATGATATCGTCTTGCTGGTTGACGATCCACACCCCGTCCAACTTGCACTAAACCGATTGGCGATTGAAACATCAACGTATGGTAGGTACTTTTCTCCAGCCAAATGCAAAGCTCTCCTTCAAGACTGGCAGGTTCCTCTGCCTGCACTCACGCTTGCTGGTGAGTCACTGAAGGTTGTGAAGAGCTTTGTGTACTTGGGAAGTTGCATCCCTGCTTGCGGGGCTTTTGCAGACAAGATTTCGATGCGCATCTCGAAAGCAGGCCTCGTTTTTTCTAGACTGAGGCACTTGTGGCCTCGCCACGACATTCGTCTCGCTATCAAAGGGAGGGTCTGTTGTGCAACTCTTCGGGCTCTACAGTTGGAAGGATGCGAGATCAGTTCCATTCATAGAGACGACTTGCGCAGGTTATCGGTTTTCGTGCAGCGCTGTCTGCGGTCCATTGCCCGTGTGTGGGCGGCAGCACCATGTAAGTAATGTGGAAAGTAGACAGCATATCTTGGGACGTGGAAGCCACTCGCATTGGCTTGGCCTTTTCTAGTTATTTATACTTTTTCATATTCAACCATGGTTCCGATGACATTATATATACACATATATATATATATATATTTGTATATATATATATACAAATTTGCTGCTACGAATCGTACACGCATATGTGTGTGACTTTGAACTTACAAGATCAAGCTGTGCACAAGTGATAATCCACCATCTTCCTTTTCACAATTTTCACACCATTAGCCTGAGGCCACCAAAGTGCTGCAAGATGCTCAAATGTCATACACTGGGGGCCCGGAATCTGGTCGAATTATTATTGCAATGGCGGACCTTGCTCTGTCTCAGGGTGACCATGAGACTGCACTGAACAGATTGCGGACAATCGGACCAGACCAAGCGTGTTACCTGATGGCCAAACAGCACATGGCGGAGATTTATCTGTATCACCGGAAAGAGAAGAAACTGTACGTGGCATGTTACCGGTAAGTGTGGGGAGTAGAGTGTGTGTGTAGGATAGTAGTATACTTTCCCGGGACCCTGTTAATTAGCAAACGACGCCATAGCGCAAGTCGCTCAACCGATTCGAATGCAACACATATGTCTAAGAATGAAGCGATGCTAGGCCGCCGCTAGATGCGGCGGTGTTCGAGGATTTCATCATCATCATCATCATCATCATCATCATCATCATCATCATCATCATCATCATCATCATCATCATCAACAACAACAACAAAACAACAACATCCACAGCATCAGTACACGTTAGCTGAGGGTGCGAAACGTACTTCACTTAATCTGCCACAATACAAAAAAAACAAGATACTAAAACATACAGGCTACCCATATTTCAACTACAAGTAATTTTATGTTAATTGTTAATTTGATGCTCACACCCACGACCAGGATGGAAACCAGCTTGTTCATCTAAGCAAGGAAGCCGGTTGATGCACAGTCGGACAACGTGGTATGATCAAAAACCAGACAGACAGCTAACAATAGCAACTTAAGGGAGAAGAAGAGGACATTAGAATCGGGTGCAGCGACATCAAATGCAACAGCGCCACTGCACCATGTTCTATAGGGTCTCCAATCATGGATGTGGCACACATCGAGGCCCCCATCTATGAAGATGGCATGCGATCGGATACGGCTGTTTCGCATTCTACAGCTAAGCAAGTAATCATGCGGATGCAGCAGTACGTTGGATTTAGTTATAATGATTCTCTTCACCGGAATGGGCGAGCATAAATATACTAAGGAGAGTTATGTAGAACACAAAGCGGAAAAAGTAAATTGGAAAGCACTGGTGAAATCAGTCCGGTGCAAATACTAACAGTTAGGTTAGTACCATTGATGTAACGACTACACCATGTCGCGCAACGTTTCCAACCACGAATTTGCTTAACCCAGAGACCTCATCAATCCAGGAAAAGCGCACGTACCAGTCTGAGCAAATCTATCGATTTTTTTCTCCGCGCTTTATACCGCGTCTTCAGCCGGCTGCTTCACCGTACGAACCGACAGGGTGCTGCGACCAGCATACAATGCACGGAGAGGAAAACGGTTGCCGGACACTCGGAGGACACGTGATGGTCATAGTGTTACGCAATTGGGTTTCGAACGATTAACTTGCGGAATACGGTGTAACTCACTCGGTGTTTCTACCAGATATAACTTTCAGTCCACTGTCGACGATAATCAAGTTTGGTGATCAACAATCAGATAATATGATCCAACTGCTCTGGACGGTCTAAGTTCAATACACAATGCTATAACCAGGGAAACCAAGCTCTGTGAAGACTAGTTGGATGGCTTGTGGGAAATACTCAAATCCCAAAGCAAAATGACAGTGTGCTAAACTGTGCATTTGTGGACTCACCATATTCGCTACGTTAAAAACGTGTAAATCCGTAAATCTCGAGTGTGTAGGAATTGGTGAGCTCAAAGTATTTTTGATTTTCAATAGCACGCGGTCTACGGAAGTCATGTCATATCACATTGTGCCAATGGTGTAATGCCTCGTCTAGTCGTCTTTTACAGAACTGACAAAAGTCAGAGAAGGTATCCACAAATACAAATGGGAACGAATTCCGGCGACATTTTCTCCGCCGTTGCATTGAATGGCAACTTTCAACTAGTGACCCATCAGCTTTGTTTTGCGGCTAAGTTTTAGGTGGTGACAAACTTGATTACTATACGCTGCTACGAATTTGCATTGAAACAACAGAGCAATGGTTTATAACGGGTATAAAAGCAAATGCATGGCAAATCCCGTAGGATGCTTAAGGTGAAAATTATCATATAAAAACACAGTGTCAACTAGATAACACACAAGATGCACGACTCACCAATAGGAGTGCATTAGCACAGCTTTGAGCATTCTGGCTTGGGTTTAGGACGATTGTGACCTCATCCACTGCTTGTTCTACACAAATGTAATTATCTGATGACTATGGGCTATATCACATAGAATACATTTGTCAGGGTATCCTCAGTGTTTTTGTTTGAATAACGATCAGTTAGTGGCGGTAACTAAATGCGCCGGGAGGGAGTTTCAGAGCTATGACACTGAGACGGAGAAAAAATTTCGTCGATATTTCAATCGTGGAACAAGCCTTCGCATTTTTGCAGGCCATTCGCTGTGGCGTATCATTGTAGCCAATTAGCATCCTAGCCATGGTTACCAGGCCTGAATGGCAAAATCCACTTCGGGCCTCATATGTGCAAGGAGCATTTGTGGGAAAATGATAGGGTCGAAACGCTCGAACGCCCTTCGCAGGAGATCAACATGTTGGTTCCTGGCGTTGGAAACCTTCATGCATTTCCCCGAACAACACTGGTCCTCTTTCGTCACCACCACAAGGTCACGCCCACGAATGCGGTCTATGGTATATTGTCTCCCAGTCTAAATGTGCAATTGACTTTTTGCCTTACATGCACTATTTTACACTTGTCGAAACACTGAAAGGAATTAGATTTGTCTTTGACTATTTAAGAGTATGGTGGATGTCTTTTTACAGCCCTTCGTATTTTCCCTGAGCACCAAACGCCTTCCATAACTTCCTGGTCGATGATGCGCACGATGTCATTAGTGAAGACCAATAATTAATCCTTGTGAAACGCTGAAGTTCACATTAATAGGATCGGACAATGAACCCCGAACTGGCACCTGCATCCGCCGCTGAAGAAGGGCAAGTTTACGCTGACGATATTGCCCTCATCTGTGAAAACACAAACTGGACATTGGACAGATTAGCATTGGCTGTCAGTAGTTTCGGGCATTGTTTTGCACCCTCGAAGTGGAAAGCTTTCCTCCGAGATTTGTAGGGACCCACCGCTGATCCTTGAGGAGGGTCAGCTAGAAGTCGTACGAAAAGTTAACTACCTAGGAAGTTGTATCAGCGCCTGTGGAATCGAAGCCAAGATCACGAAACGGAGTGTAAAAGCTTGAAGCGTCTTTTCTAACTTTCGTCACCTATGGCGCCGACGTAACGTCAGTATCTCCCCGAAGAATAGAGTTTCCAACGCAGCTATACGTTCGACCTTACTGTACGGTTGCGAAACTCGATCCTTTAGATCGGCAGACTTAAACAGGCTAGTTACGTTCGACCACCGGTGCCTTTGCAGTTTGGCTCACACCTGTTGGTAACACTGTGTGAGTAATGAGCGTGTTCGACCCTCTGTTTACGGCCCAGGAAGAACTGAACCGCTCGGCACCGTTGTATCACGTACCAGACTCTGATGACTCGGCACGTATTGTGTATGCCAGCCCACTGGCTCCCTCGATATGCGTCGCTTGCGCCCCAGGGCTGTACCCACGGACGCCGCACATTTTTGCTTCACCATGCTGGATTCTACTTTCGCTTTAGAAATACTGGGTTATACGTGTTTTATCTGTGTGAATTTTGCACCAGTGCTTTGCTTTTGGTGTGTATTTTGATCTGTGCGAATTTGCTGGGTATTCTCCGGCTACTGTCGGAGAGCTCACTGATTGGCCTAACTGCCGTCTGTGTCCGCCATCTTGGATTGGTTCCACAGCAATCGAATGGGTGTCCGCCAGACCACCAGTTTGACCGACGGCGTTTGGGTTCAGCATACCAGTGGAGACGTTGCAACGAACGGGCTTCCGCAGATCTGACAGTCACAATGGCACCTACTGGTTGCCCACGGAAAGCTAAGCTCAAAGCTTCCGAAATAAACGTTAGTTGTGGCGTCGACAGCTGTGTAAAACTTGTGCAATTTGGAATAGAATGCAGAAATTGCCGAAAATACCTCCATTCTCGATGTGTTCGCCTTAGTCTTAGTTAGATAAAAAAACCTAATTGTACGACCGATTCTCTGGTTCTCTCTCTTCCACTCGTCAGATGTATACATGTACTGGCGCAGAAGTCCGGTAGGCTGACAAAGATTGTAGAGCAGGCAGCAGCCGTGAAAGTTGGCCCACATGAACCACACAAATCAGTTTCTCGAACTCGATGCTCAACGTTAAGCTCCAATACAGAACAGCGTAAGAGTAACGACCCAGAGTTGGCCACCCCGACACTAGCGTCGGCTCATAAAGATGCTTTGGCCACACATTCTTCAATAGAATCACCTAACACACAACACTGTTAGAAGGCGGACAACCCACGCGTCCCTTGTTGCTATCCATTTGACGGAGGCACCTCTCATTGCAACCCCGCCCGCTACCAAACGAGTTACTACCGTCAATACCACCACGGGACTCAAGACCCAATCATTTGTCCAACCGAAGTAACCGTCTACTGGTCCATCTAAAAAGGAAAACATGAAACGCTACCATGATTCTCTAACTCTTATATGCTCTAATGTGACTGAATCCGGGAGGAACTCCATAAAAGATAAGATACTAGACGATAAAAACAATGGGACACCCTGTGTCAACTACTAGGGGCTCAAATATGTTCCAAGATATTGAGTACTAGGGGCTCAAGCTAAACCAGTCAGTACGATGCGTCTCGTCCGTCACCCAAACTCCGTACACTACGGTAAACCGCGGTTACTCCGGGTAACACAGTCAGGTAATGATGCAGAGGCAGTTCTCCTGTCAGGCACTCGCCTCCGTACCACCACATGAACTGTTCGAATATTTTCAGATGTTCCTTGAAGCGAACGCCAAAAACGCAAACAAAATCCGGATGACTTCCGTAAACAACAAGGCGCAAAAAGGTATTCTTGTTCACGGTGTTCTCGGGTTCCAGTCACTAAGCGAGATAGAAATCAAAGCGCATGACTGGGACGAATGGCAATTTATTCGTAAATTATTCTCACTCGAAATTGTTATCGACATGGAGGTTACCACTATCACCTAACAACAAAGGACGTGGTTCTCGAATGATGAAAGTATCATTGTACTCCGAACTGATGGCAGAACATATGACCAAAATGTGGCACAAAAATGTAAAATGCTGCCATCCGAAATGCGTATAAAGGCGATAGGCACCGGGCCACAGATAGACAA